TGGGGAAGTTCGTGAAAAAAAATCCTTTCATTCTCGTATCCATTCTATAAATATTTATTGAGTCACAGCTATTGAGCACTAGAGATATAGTGGTAAAGGAAAAAGTGAAAACCTGAAAACAGACAGTATTCTCTCAGTGCTAGTCATAGCCAGAATTCATGGCTTCATCAATGCACTGCCATCGTTTTCTAAGCAAAGCAAGCACATAGTAGAAGCCATAATATATTTCTGGCTGCTTGTAGGACGTATAAACAATGCACTTCAGTTTTAGCAATTCGCACAATTGTTCTATCAACTGTAACTTACTGGTGTCCTCTCCATTATAATTTTCCTCCGTGATTTTCTTTAACATAATCATTGGAGTATGTGTACACAGATGCCAAGTATAATGTTTGCATAAATATTTCCATCTTTTAGCAGGATGAACCTTTTGGCAGATAACTGATACCATACACACACACATACACACAAGCAAACACACACACTAGAAATCTTCTGCACATGAGTTCCTGAGACTCACCAAGCCATCTAGGTTAAATGTGGTGGGAAAGTGATGGAGGGGTAGTTAAAATACAATGATTTAGAAGGGAGGGAGTTGTGACATTCTCTAATTAGAGACCCCACCATGGGAAAACTGCACCCCATGCATACACCATTGTGGGTGAAAGCCTCGATAGATCTGGTAACACACTGATATGCCACAGCCAGAACTGGGGATCAATCTTAGCTTTTTCTAAGATCTCCTTTATCGTATCTGTACTAGGAATTCTTTAACTGGCATCTGTTTCACTATGCACAAGACACAGGAACAGGGTACAACCCCTTCTTCAGTGAGCCAGACTGGAAGGTGGAACTTCTATAGAACAAAACAGACGGCCTGTGCGACGAGATAAATGCTTATACCCCAAGTTCCAACTGGTTGGGTTTGAGTGAAATCTGCTGCATCCAGTGAGAATAAGGAGGTGGGTGTCACTCTAAGGATAGGAGGAACTCCCTTAATTTCTCCTCTAAAATATTCCTTTCCCACCAGCTGTAATTCAGTACGATGTAGGAATTAGGAATGCAGCCTGCGGTCAGGCAGTCCTCCATTCACATCCTGCTTCTACCACATGCAGGATCTGAAGCAGGTCCCTGGCTTCTCTGAACTGGAATTTCCATTTATGAGGCAAGGATAAGAATACCTACTGTAGATGAGTTGTTGAAATGCCTAAATGAGCTCATGGACATAAAACTCTCAGCATAGTTCTTGGTATAGAGTAGCTCTTAGTAAATGGTGATTGAAGTCAGCATTACCAGCAGATTGTATAGAGGCCCTTTTAGGCATTAGAAATAGCACCTTGTGGGCTTCCCTGGTGGCGCAGTGGTTGAGAGTCCGCCTGCCGATGCAGGGGAAACGGGTTCGTGCCCCGGTCCAGGAGGATCCCACATGCCGCGGAGCGGCTGGGTCCGTGAGCCATGGCCGCTGAGCCTGCGCGTCCGGAGCCTGTGCTCTGCAACGGGAGAGGCCGCAGCAGGGAGAGCCCCGCCAACCCAAAAAAAAAAAAAAAAAAAAAAAAAAAGAAATAGCACCTTGTGGTACAGCCAAAGAAACATGTGGAAGGAACAGACCTTTCTCTGATGGGGCTCACAGTCCAAGTGAAGATGAACATGCAAGCAAATAATTATAACACAAGCTGCTAACACTCTTAGGAGTTAGTATACAGGTTTGTACAAAGTGGAAAGGACACGGCCTGATTTGGATTATCCAGATGTAGAATCAATGGAAGGGGTGCCCTTGGCAAAAAGAGGAGAGTGTTCAAAGAGACAGGAACTGAGACAGAGAATGAGCAGATGACAAGTGACTATGAGGGCTTGGAGGATATTGGGAGGATAAGAATGAAGCTTTCTTTGCTGGGACACAGGAGAATAACCATATTTGAGAGAAGAAGATGGTGACTTTGGCTTTGGACAAGATGAAGTGGAGGTCTGTGGGCTGTCCGTGTAAGGGAGTCCTGGTGCCAAGTCTGGAGATCAGGAGATCTGGGCTGGAGAGAGGGATCTGGGAGTCATCACAGTGTGGAAAGCAACTGAGATCAAGGGCACCAAGGAGAATGCAAACAGAGTGGTGAGAATAAAGAGGGAAGCAGACACATCAGAGAGACGGGAATGGGGCCCTTCATTCAGGAAGACGTAATGATGGGTCTCCCTTTTGTCTTCTGGGGCATCTCTACCATCTTTAATTAGAGCTTCTCTAGAAGAGAAGAGGGTTGTTTTACTTTAATATTTATGATTTTTGTCCCATTCATGCTTGAAGTCAAAACTGCTTTAAAAACCTTTCTTTAAATCTCTCTCCCTCCCCCTCCCTCTTTCTTTCTCTCTAAATATATATGCTTTTTAAAACTAGTCTGTATGTATGTTATACGCATGTGCATATACACACATACTTTTTTCATTTTAGCCTGGTGTAACCCTATCTATGGTAGATAGAATTATTCCCAAAGCATTTTTTCAAGTAGTTACTAAGATGATTCACCATGGAGAGGTCCAATCTTTTACTCAATGTCCCCACCCTTGTGAAGACTTACCCATTTGACCAAGTCCACCCCTCTCTCCCCAGACATGGCTCAGTAGTGAGCTACTTGAGGAGAGGGGTGGTATCCCATTCATCCTTGCCTCACTCTGGTGCAGATGGAATGTTGGCCATAGAGTTGGCCCACAGAGGGTGTTTATTGTGTTGGCCTGGGCTGCCAATTGGCTTGTAACCAGGGTATTATTTCCAAGCATCTCTGGGAAGGCTTGGACCCACTAAGCTCTAATGCAGAGCAAAGCCATCGGAAAAAAAAGGAGAGGCAGAGGGCATGGAAGGCCCAATTTACAAGAGGAAAGTCTGCTCAGACCTGAGTTCTATGTCTGCTGAACACAGGCAGGCACTGTGCACAGCACCGGACTAATCCACGCCAGCTGCACACAAAGGCCCAGCAGAAAGCAAATGTCCCTCTAAGGGCTTGTCATGTTTTCCAAGACACCCTCATTACATGCTGCTTCTAGTGACTCCACTGAGTGACCTCAGAGATGAAAAGAAATCTCCCGAGTCCCAGAATAACAGCTCCCTCCTTCTGCAGACCTTCCCCTCTGCTGACCGGCTGTACCAGCATGTGCTGCTGGGGGACGGCTTTAAGGATAACATGACTGGTATTTATCTGCTCCATTGGCTTCCTCTTTCTTTGAGACAGAAGCACAAGGAGTTATTTCTGAAGCACTGGTTCCCCTGAGCGCTGAGAGAATAGACCAACTACAGGAAGCATTTGTACATTCTGAGCTCAACTCCGCAGCAATTCCCGGAGCTGCCTTTTTGGGAAATTGCTATATTTCAACAGAAATTTGGAGGAGGACACACAATATATTAAAAGGGTATTTTCTGTATGTGGAAATGAAGCCTATCAAGGGCCGCCTTCTTTTATGCAATGTTATCACCTGCACTCCAGTGGCCTCCCTGTAAACAGGCTCCCTGGCAAATGAGGTACGTCCAAAGGCAGCACAGAGAATCCACAGGTGTGAGGCAAGCCTGACCCAGGACTGGTTAAATCCAACCAACGAGAATGATTTTACAGTTCCAAAAGTGATCCTCAGACTGTGTAACTTCAAAAGGTTGAAAAATAACTCCAAAATGTAATAACAAAAGGCAGAAAGGCTCAAGTTCTCTACCTCTTATTATGGACAAGAAAAAAATAACTTGCATTTTGACTTTCCATTTGCAAGAGGAGAGAGAAGCCAGAATTTGAAGGATGAATAAAAGAAAGTAAGGATACAGGGAAGCATTACAGGAAAGAAAAAAAAAAAAAAGCATGTTCAAAGTCCCAGATACATAAAGGAACCAGCTCAGACATGGAGATGTGAGCCACTTAGGACAGTGGGCTGCAGGGTTTACCAGAGGGAAGAGCAGAGGTAACACCCGGGGACAGAATCCAGTGCTTTCCTCAAGCATCACAAAAGTGCACAAAATCCCAACCCATCCCTCTCCACACACACACCAGCGTCTAAGTTCCATGAATCAGAAATTGTTGTTTTGTCTCTCCTGTTCACTGATAGATTCCAAGCATCAAGAACAGTGCCTGGCACATCGCAGGCACTGAATAAACATTTGTGGAATGAATGAATAAACCAAGTCGTCACTCAGAGCTTGGGTGTACCGCCTAAAGCAGAAATCAAGCAAGCACTCAATGAACAATGGCTATTGTTGTCCTAACTAGTACTCATGTCAGGGAGTTAAGTATGAAACCTCAGTAAACATTGGTAATTAATTGTGCAGGGAATCTCAATTTGAACAGTTTCAAAATATATCTTTTAATTTAGATACAATGGCATGCAATGAAACAAATCTTGTGTGATAGTCTGATGCATTTTGACAAATGTTCAAGACAAGGAATATTGCCATAACTCTAGAAAGTCCCCGTGCCGCACCTCAGATGAGCTTTTCCTGAACATTGATTTTTTATAGTTATTATATATGTTCTAGAAAATGTGCTTTACAAGAAATACAACCCTCTCCAATCCATGATTTGCAGAAGCGATACATTTAAGTTTTGGAAATGAGTTGATTCAAAGCAAAAGACTAAGTACATGAAAATACAAGGGGTTCATTCGTAGGGCAAAATGTGTGAATATCGTACCCCATTATGAGGTTTAGGCAAACTGGTGTGATCATTGCCAGAGAGTGAACACTTGCTACTGCAATGATGTGAACCAAACTTCACTGCTTTTAAATTACCTTAAGTCTTTCAAGGACACTACCTACTCAGATTTGAGAACCCAACACAACGAACAGCACACAACTGCCACAGTTCACCCAGGGAAAGCACCTCCACTTTACAGTATCTGTCTGCCTTGTTCCATCAGGGGTCATGGAATGACATGTGGAGCTGCTCAGAGGGAAATACTTTGGGAAAAGGAGTCGTTTGAGCTCCCTTGCTGCCCACACCTTTCCTGCCTCCCCTGCATTCGGCACACAGGAGGATGCTCACCTTTTCCCATTCGCGGTCCTTGTTCAGCACGATGACCACCAGCCTGGGGTGCACCTGATAGCCTTCCTCAGTGAAGGACAAGTCTTTGCCATCCCATGTCACATTGACCATAAATCTAGAGAGAGGAAGAGAAAAACAAATGTTTAGGGAAGAATTAAAGAGGTTTCAAACAAATAAGTGGATGCCACCATCAGCATAAAACTGAGAAGGTGTAAACTCATCAGAAGGAGCCTCTTATCTGTGGAAGCATCATTACCCACACAGGCTCTGCTAACTTCCATGCATTCTTTTTCATGAGCCTGTAATCAATCCCAGAATCCCCAATCCTGTACAGGCATTAGTAATTTATTGCAGAAAGCACAGGGGATAGAACATATTTGTCCTGCCAGACTATAGAACATTGAACTTCTGTTCAAATGATCTTCTTACAGGAGGATCTGAAAGCATGTTTTAACAAGCTTCCCTAAAGGAAACTGCTTGCTCATAAACCACATGGTATACAACGTCAAAGAAATGATATCCCATTCATTCATTATTCATTCAACTAATATTTATCAAATATTTGCTACATGTCAGGACTCAGCTAGTTGGTTGGCAATAAAGAAGAAACAGACATGATCTCTGTCCTCTTAAAGCTTATAGTCTAAGGGAGAGGACAGGTATTAATTGGTTAATCACTGAACTATGAAAAGTGCTACAATAGAGGGGGCGGGGTGTGCTATGTGAAAGTGAAACAGGGGTCAGGCAAGGCTTCTATAAGGAAGTGCAGCTTGACCTGAAGGATGACTCAGCATTAACTAGATCAGAAAAGATGTAAGCACATTCCAGGCAAAGGGGACAGCATGTACAAAGGTCCTGTGGTAGTGTTTATGAAGGGCTGAGTGCAAACCAGTGAGGCCAAAGCAGAGAGAGACAGGGAAATGGGGGGTGTGGTGTGAGTGAGAAGGTAAATAGGGGCAGACAGTGCAAAGCTTTTCAGGCCATGTTAAGGAGTTTTATCTTCATTTTAAAACAATAGAAAGACATTGAAGACTTTAATCAAGGAGGTGATATAATCAGACTTTTCTTGTATCAGTATAATATGACTTAAATGTTGTGTACAGAATAGGTTTGCGGGGGACCACAGTAGGTAGAGGGGGGCTGGTCACAGTGCTCTTATTATTCAGGTGAGAGATGGTGTTGGCTTTGGTCCCGTTGTGGCCACAAAAGAGGAGGAGAAGGAAGAGTAGGAGCAGCAACACAAGTGGAGAAATACTGAGCAGGTATTCAGTGATGGGTTAGACATGAGGGTGGTGGAGAGAGAGGCGTCAAGGATGGCTCCTCGATGTCTGCCCTATACAACAACTGTGCAGTTGTCTTCATCACAAGTGATGTCTGTCTGTTTACAATACTCTTATCTCTACCTCCCACACCCCCGCCTCAAACCACCTCGCCTGTAGTCACACTCGGCTCTGATGCAGAGCAAGACAGAGCTCAATTCCCAGGATTTGGGAGGGAGGCTTCTCAGGGGTTCACATCTCCTTGCAGCATGAGAAAAATACGATGTTAAAGACGTCCAAGAAAACACACCACTTAGCAGACACTCAGTAAATACAGTATGGTGGTTAGAAGCATTCAGAGACTTCCCCAGAAAGACAGGGTACCTCAAAGTCATAGCATTTTTTTGCATTATATTCCTTTAACAACAAAAGTAGCTAAAGAAGTAAAATATTAAGGAAGAGGACTAGATTACAAAAATAATTCCAAAAAGAGAGATTGGCCTAACTGATCACATGTCTGCCCCTGGACAGCCACAGTGCAGAAGACCTGACTGTGTCCTATGGGGGAAGAATCAGGTCTCCAAGGACAAGGTTAAGAAATTGGGGAAAAGGCAAAGAACATTTTTGTGTATCCATTCAATGGACTGTTTTGAGTCCTTAAAAAATCATGTTTTTGAGACAAGTTAATGGCATGAAGATAATGCTTGCTATTTAATGTTAAACAAGCAGAAAAGAGGATAAAAATAGGGTTTGTCTATGCATGGAAGGATCCCAGGTACTTTCCATTTTCTTTTGTGTATCTTTGTATTCTCCAAATTTTCTGCAGATAGTTTTCATTTTTAACAAAATACTGTTTAAAAACAGAAAAATCAAACACTGCTATTCTAGAAGAAGCAAAGGGTAATCACGATTCTATCTGGCGCATCTGAGGCATCGCTGATCATTTCCTAGGAAGATAATTTACCGATTCAACAACGAGTTACTGAATGTCTATTGTGTGTCAGGCCTTATGGTGAGTCCCATAAATACAGAAATAAAAAACACAGTGCCTGTGGCCCCTCTTACATCCTCACAATTCAGTGACATAGACACATAAACAATGACAGTACATAGAAGGCCACTTGTGCGCCAATGCACAGTAAGTATAAGTCATGAGAATGTAGAGGAAGGGTCCCTAACGCAATCTCTACAATGTAGGGAGGACTTCCTGGGAATCTGCAAGAGTAAAGGGGTTGAGGAGAGGTGGAGAAGAGCATTCAGAGCAGAGGAGTCATCTTAAACAAGGAAGAGTCAGCAAAGGAAGTGACACGCTAGGGGAAATAGCTTAGTACAGCTGACAGGCAGTGGGATGTGTCTGGAGAGCATCCCTTAAGCTAGATCATAAGGGACCTAAAGGTCTGGATTTTGTGCAGATGGCCATGAGGATCACAAAAGGTTTTAAGTAGAGGAGTGATTCACCGCATGGAGGAAACTTCAAGGCCAAGGGCAAAGACCCATGAAATGTCACGATGGAACACTGTCCATGGAATTTCAGCATAAAAGTTGCAGACGAAGCCCACCAGTGGACTTTACCTGGGCTGGCAGGAAATCTGTAACCAAGTCATTCTGTCTCTGCAGTCCAAAACTCATAGTTAGGCCTGCTGATTCATCGAGGGTTTTAGCTTGTTTGTTTGTTTGTTGTTTTTTACTGAATCCAATAAAAGCTCTCAAGCCAAGTTTTGATTATACAATAATTTGAAGTGAATAGAGTTCACGTTGGGTCAATCTAACACCCCAAATGTGGGTGAAACTGAAAAATTTAGTCCATTAGCAAGAGGTTTGAAAATATCCAATTTGATATGTGTTTGGAAACGGCAGACCAGAGGACGAACGCTTTGGGTTTGACTTGGACCCCTGGCCCGGGGAGAGCCATTCACAGGGTTATGTGGTGTGAACCGATGTCACGGTCACCATTTTAATCTAGGAGCTAGCATGCCCTGTTGAGCATCCAGTCTTCTTCTGATATGCCAGCTGAATCTACTTAAATCTCCCTCTTCTTTAACTCCCCATCTCTGTTTCCCCTGCTCATTTCCTTTTCTCCCATTTTGTAGTGAAATCAGATGGAGTTAGCAGGGACATTATTTAGATGCAATCCATCTTCTTCAGATTATATAGAAACGACTATATGGAAATTCTCACACTCCACATTGTTCTGTGTTCCTTTAAAAATCAGTATTCTGGACCAATGAGTCTACATACTCTATGTTAATATTGTCTATTTTCTTCCTTCCTTCCTTCCTTCCCTCCCTCCTTCCCTTCTTCCTTCCTTCCTTCCTTCTTTCTTTCTTTTCTTTCCTTCCTTCTTCCTTCCTTTTCTTTCCTTCCTTCTTCCTTCCTTTCTTCTTTCCTTCTTTCTTCCTTCCTTCCTTCCTTTCCTTCCTTCCTTCCTTCCTTCCTTCCTTCCTCCCTCCCTCCCTTCCTTCCTTCCTTCCCATTAAAAGTCTTCAGTCCCCTGGGAAGGAGAAAAAAAAAAAACCCTCTAACAAGAATATTTGCTGAACAGTAATTTCATTATGAAGTTGGCAGGGAGCAAGTACCCATTACCTTCAATTCCCCCATCTAATTTCTAGGAAGGATGATCCGTATTTCCACAGGCTTTCTTCCCACTTAAAATTACTCCAGAGCAGAATTCTTTATCCAGGGAAAAACCATTATACACCCCACTGCTTGGTCCCCATTAACACCTGCTGGGCACTTGTATTAAACAGTAAAATCTTATCACTGTTTTGTTTATCTCTTGAAAATTGATTACAAAACTTTTAGTGACCAGATGAAATATCAGAAATTCTGGCTGCTGCTAAGCTTCGAATTACATCTTCGATGTTTCCACCAGGAGTAATAAACACATGAAGACATGCTGGCAAAACGTGGACGTGGCGGAGGCTCTGATGGTTTGCAGAGGGTCCACTTCTGCGTTATTATCGTCCATTGATGGTAAAGTGTCAAGTTGTTGTTGTTTTTTTAATCAGTAAAATACATAACAGAAAATATGTAAATTATGTGATGCACACACCTACAAATTTCCTTTGGTATCTACAGCCTCACGTGTATGAAGCTGAAGTCCAGGTGAAAGAAACATTTCTCTACGGCTTGCATTTTGTGCCCTGTGAAATGCTGGTGTACGGGGATCAGAAATAACATGGAAAAACAGGTGGACTGTTTTCCCTATATTATGACTGCAAAGAAATTGGGCCAGAATTATCAAGGTCTTTCTAGATCTGCTCTAATATGGTAGCCACCACCAACCGGTGGCTATGGAGTAATTGAAGTGTGGTTAGTCTGAATAGAAATGTGCCGTAAGGGCACGACATACTGGATTTGGAAGACTTTGTATGAAAAAATAGTGTAAAAGATCTCATAAACAATTTTATATTCATTTAATGTTGAAAAAATTTAGACACTGCGGTCGCAGTAGGATACATTATTAAAATTAATTTCATCTTCTTTTTACTTGTTCACTGTGTGGCCAGATAATTTGAGATGATAAGTGACTACATTATGTTTCTACTGGACAGCTGTCCTGGACCATCTTTGGTGTTTCATCTTGTTTTTTAACCAGCAGATGGACGGTGTGCATCATGAAGGCAGGGACCTCTTATGCCTTGTTTTCTATTGTATTTTTAGTGCCGAACAGAGTGCCTGGCACATGGCTGGTGCTAAAATAGTTAGGCGCAGAGTGAATTAAAGAATGAATTGCTATTGCTAGCAATTGTTGGGATCAAAGCCTGCCTCTGCTATTCCCCAGCTGTGCCACTTGGGGTCATATATTTAAAATTCTCTGAGCTTCCACTTCCTTCTTTGTAAAAACAGATCAGGT